GGCGCTGTTAAACTTATAACACTTCAAATGACGACGACAAATAATAACTGTAGAAGCTTCCATCGCATTCACTGTGTATGTTCAAACTCAGGCATTATTACTGAGGCCATCGAGTTAAATACACCGTTGGAGCTTCGTCTTCCATGCAGATTTATTTCCATGATGTTTAGGATCCTTAAGGTTTGACCTTTGAGTGATTCCACTTTTTCGCTTTAGTTTCCCTCAATCCAGTCCTTGTGAAAGAATGTTAAATTTTATATCTGTAGTTAAGTCAGTATTAGACTACGCGTAGGTAACCGCAGGTAGCTATGGTTCTGACGCTTTCTGATTTATTCATGCAATATGTACTGTAAATTGGGCGATCTCATGTTGTATTCATACCGTGGAAGGCGTAGCATCGTCATCGTTTCGCTATTACTCTGGCATTTGTGCTGAATTGGAGAGTATTTAGGTATATAAATCCTACGTTAAGTTAGATCGATTCTAAAGTTTGTCGCAATGTCAGGACCATCATCTTGTTCGAATATCATAAAATGGTAGTGAATCTATTGTAGGCACAGAAAACTTTATTTTAACTGATCTTCAGCAACTTTACAGCGGGCAGTATTAAAACATGCATGCATTTATCCAAAAACTGAAACATATAAAAGTCGGTGATGTTGCAAATGGCTCAATTTCTGCAGAATGCGGAAAGGGAAGACTTCTGTTCTGTTCGAATCGCACTTGTTAGATTCCAGTTGTTAGCATATTAGGTTTATATCCATGAATTATTTTTTTGCTCTTTTACTCTTATTTCATTTGAGATTGTTATACTTATATTGTTATAACATTGTATAATGTGACTGCTGAGTCATTAGTCGATGTTAATTCTAAAAGCTTTTTTGTTTTTTATAAGCTTTCTGATCGAATTCAAAATTTGATTCGGATTTTAAGAGGCCCACATTTCTTTTGCCTGAAAATCTAGATATAATTCTGTATTTAATGTTTTTATACCAGTTAACAACGTTATATTGGTTGTGCGTTATCTTTGTAAGTCTGGAGTTCAAGCTTTTTATTTTGGT